TTCTAATAGAACCTCTAATATCCATAACCACTCCTATTAAATAAAAGTGTGAATTGGGCCTTTAAAGTTAGACATCACTAAAAATTGAATGACACAAGTATAAAATGAGGGACTGTGTGCTCAGGTGAAGCCCATCTCCCTACCCAGGAGAGCCTTGGCCTTTCAATGGGTAGCATGCTTAACTATACTTGAAGCTCCTAGGTGCCAAACCATTTAGTGCCTTGGCTGTCTATCCCACTGCCTTGGAAGATGGATTCTTTTCATCTCTGAGCTTCTACTTACTTATTCGCTTCCTCATCTACTTGTGGTGTTGGGACCAAGCTTCCAGGATCTCTGAGCAGCACCTCCTCCAAGTTAGGACACAGCTCCTAGCTGTCCTGCCCCTACCCTTGGGGAAATCATCATCAGTTCTTGACGGCTTGGCAAGGGTTCTTGGGCAGTGTTCAGGGTCTGTGGTGTCAGACCCTGGATGTTGTGATGCCCTGGGTACTGTGATACGCTGTATCTGGGACAGGGAGTAGATGAGAGACTCTACCACTTTGTGGCAAACTAGGATTTAGCCACTTGTGTATCTGTGTTTGAACTTTCTTACAATGTGATCTGACTTTCAAGAGCCTCTGGGTCTCCAATGCCACTGGAGAGGCAGGGGTAGAATTATTTGGGCAGAAATCATGACCGTTGTCTCTCAGGCACTGAGCTATGGGTGGGGGTGGGGGCACAGATGAGCTCAGCAGGGTGAAGTTAGTCACATGTGCACGTGAATTCCTTGGCTTCAGAGCCACCCCGTGGTACTCCTTTCCCCTCCCTGCTCACTTGTCTATGGTCTAAGTCTTTGTCATGAGAAGACTGGCCTCACACTCACACAATGCAAGAATTTCTGATCCAAGTGTCCCATTTTCAGGCAGTCTGAAGCTAGAATGAGCAAAGATGGAAACCTGCCCAAAGAAGGTGGACAGGTAGGGCCTGGGAGGTAGTGGGTTATACTGTGGGATATGAACAGATTAGGCCAAAGGGAGGAGTCTCCAGCTCACATGTTCTTGGAACTAATACTTCCAATCCTGGTTGCTTCATGATCAAGAGGAGGTTGATTCCAGCCTCTCCCTGGCTTGGAATGGGATCCTGTCCCCATAAGGCCACTAGGTCTGGAGGCTTGTGTGCTCCTCAGAGCAGCCAGGAAGTGGAGATACACAAGTCTGGTTGGCTTGAGTTGGTTGGTATTATTACCTGCCTTCTATCGGCCCTTGAGTTAGCTTGATCCATGATAGTACCCAAGACTGTCAGAAGTACTTCTTTTTTTAATTTTTTATTTATTTTTTTTTGGGGGGTCCGGTCGTGGGGCCTGAACTCTGGGCCTGGGTGCTGTCCCTCAGCTCTTCAGCTCAAGGCTAGCACACTACCACTTGAGCCACAGTGCCACTTCCGGCTTTTTTCTTTCTGCTTATGTGGTGCTGAGGAATCGAACCCAGGGCCTCATGCATGCAAGACAAGCACTCTTACCACTGAGCCACCTTCTCAGCCCTGTCAGAAGTACTGACCCAAGTCTCCTATGTGCCTGTCATAGATTCCAGTGCTAGGGAATGAAAGGGCTGTTGTAGTTGAGGCTGGTGGTTGGTCCTGACAGATAGGACAATACCTATGGAAGGACCAGTGGGCCTTCTCTACCTCCTTTCCCCTTTGCACTTGTCTCTAGGCAGAATGGAGGAAGCTTACTGACATCAGACAAGACAAGGAAGAAGACAGGTTGCAAAGGGCATGATTGGGACTGCTCTGAAGCTTGAAGTCCCCTTTCACACTTTCTGTCTCTGGGTGTTCTGTGCCCTCCTGGTGGCAGATACAGGAAATGGGGATCTCGTCCTCTAGAGGAAGTGAGTGCGTAGCCAGGCCTTCACAGGAACCAGGTCGAGCAGCTAAGTAAACACTTGGACTTTTCTTTCCCTTCAAGATGCATTCTCTTGTGCTTCTGCTTTTTACTACCATTCCTTTATTGTTAGCACTTCCAAAAATGAAAACAAAACAAGATCATATACTCTGTACTTTGCTGTAAATAAAGAATGAATGAAAAAGAAAAAATAATGAGGGACTGTTTTGGGATGGGAACCAGTGGAGGAGGGATCATGAAAGGATAGGGTAAAGAGGGGTGAATTTAAGTGAAGTACTTCATTCGTATGTATGAAAACAGAATAATGAAAGTGGTTGAAAAAAAAATTTTTAAGGGTAGCAGGAGCTGGTGGCTCATACCTATAATTCTAGCTACTCAGGAGGTTGAGATCTGATGATCACAGTTCAGAGCCAGCTAGAGCAGAGAAATCTGGGATACTCTTATCTCCAATTAACCAGCAAAAAGATGGAAGTGGAGGTAAGACTCAATTGGTAGCACATCAGCCATGAGTTGAAAAAGCCAAGCAAGAACATAAAGTCACGAGCTCAAAACCCAGTATCATGCCCCCCCCCAAATACTATAAATTAAAAATAAATTTTTAAATGGGTAGGGGAAATAAGAAAGTAATAGAGAGGGGAAAAAAAGAAAATAATAGAGAGGGTAAATTTTCTTTATATATGAATGGAAATATCTCAGTAAAACTTTTGTATCATTGACATATACTAATATAAAGGAAATAGTGAAGCATATTTTCTTCTTTCTTGTCAATTTACATTCTTTGAGGAAAGTTTACCCAAAATAGTTACCTCTCACCAATATTTGAAAACCTTTTATTGACAGAAGGCCTCCTCCATCTTATAGCTAATACTTTATTAGCAGTTAAGGAAATCCATAGCTGTTTCATTATCTACCCCACAGCCTTACCAGTTTGATTTTATACTAATTCAAGTGGAATACCTAATTGTGCCTGAATGCAAGGAGGTACTTGAAGAGTAGAATTTGTGTCAAAAAGAATACAGGAGCCAGTATGAACAATTTCCCACCAGCCAAAGTTAGAGCACAAAATAAGTACAATGGTAATGGTTTATAACAATGAATTTTTTAAAGGCCATAGTTATACTCAAAATACATAAATAAGTAAAAGACAAAGGGGGAAATTTGGCTTTACAGAAGAATGCCAGTCAGTAAATTTAAAAGTGGTAGATTTAGAAAATCACCATTTTGTAGTCCCCCAGCATATTATGTGAGCCTGGCAATAGTCACCAGTGGATTCTAAGCTATTCGAAGAAAAATTGCTCAGAAACTGGCTGCTCTCATGGTCTCAAAATATGCCACACAGACATCTCATTCAGTATGGCAGAAAAGAATCTTTACATCAGAGAGATCTAGTAACTTCTATTTAGCCAAGAGATAAAGCTTATCTTCACCAACGTTGAAGTACTATGAATTCAAAAGCATACTTAATGAAGCCAGGAGCCAGTGGTTCACACCTATAATCCTAACTACTGAAGAGCCAACCTTGACAAGAAAGTCCGTGAGACTCTTTATCTCTGATTAACCACCAAAAAGACAGAAGTGGAACTGTGGTTCAAGTGTAGAGCACTGGTCTTGAGCACAAAAGCTTAGACCTGATTTCAATCTCAGGACACTACCTACACACACATCTGGAGATGTGGTAGGAAAATGTGGAGAAGTTGCAACCCCTGGTACATTGCTAATGGTAATGGTAATGTGAAATGATGCAGCAGTCACGGAACATGGTATGACTGTTGCTTGAAAGTTAAATACAAATCTGGGATCATGACTGTAATCCTAGCTACTCAGAAGGCTGAGGTCTGAGGATCACAGTTCAAAGCCAGCCCAGGCAGAAAAGTCTATGAGACTCTTATAAATAAACCACCAGAAAACCGGAAGTGGCACTGTGGCTCAAGTGGTAAAGTGCTAGCCTTGAGCTGAAGAGCTAAGGGACAGTGCCCAGGCCCAGTTTTCAAGCCCCCACAAACTGATGAAAGAAAGAAAAGGAAGAAAGAGAGAGAGAGAGAAAGAAAGAAAGAAAGAAAGGAAGGAAGGAAGGAAGGAAGGAAGGAAGGAAGGAAGGAAGGAAGGAAGGAAGGAAGGAGATCTTTGTTGCTTTGTATGTCCCTCCCCCACAGTATAACCCCTGCTTTCACTGTATTTGATGTCGGTATAATTTGTGGAGGGAAAGGGAAAAAACAAATCGTTTAAATAGGGATACAGGTGGACCCATTGCAACAATGAGATGTACAAGTCATCATGTTGAAAATGAACTTTACAACTTTGGTGGGGTGGGGGGAGGATGGGAAGGGGAAACAAAGGAGGAGGCTACAATGCTTGATAAGAAATGTATTCATGCTGGGAAGGTGGCTCAGTGGTAGAGCGCTTACCTTGCATGCATGAGGCCCTTGGTTCGATTCCTCAGCACCACATAAGCAAAAAGAAAAAAGCCAGAAATGGTGCTGTGGCTCAAGTGGTAGAGTGCTAGCCTTGAGCTGAAGAGCTGAGGGACAGCGCCCAGGCCCAGGGTTTAGGCTCCACAACCGGACCCAAAAAAAAAAAAAAAAAAAAAAAGTACTCATTATCTTGCCCATGTAATTGTAACCCCTCTGTACAGTATTTTCACAATAAAACAAAGAAAAGGGATTATAAACAGAAATAGAGAGAGAGAAAAGGAAGGAAGGAAGGAAAGAGAGAGAGAGAAAGGAAGGAAGGAAGGAAGGAAGGAAGGAAGGAAGGAAAATACAAAATTACCATGTGATCCAATAATCCCACTTCTGGGTTTATACTCTGAAGAACTGAAAGAAGAATTTGAATAGATACCTTATTTTCCACACCCAAGCTTCTATCTAATATATGATCCAAGAAATAATTGATTGGCCAGTGAGTACGAGATGAAAGATAAGACTCTTTCCTCTGGGTAGAAATCGTGGTTTATGTCTTTGAAACCACAGATGCTCTCCTCCGGTTGTATTACATAGTATATACAGACCACATGCTCTTGTGTTCTAGGCACATTCTAATTTCAAGTGCAGTGATTTGGTGCCTACCTTGAAATAATTAATCTCTGTGCTTGTTTCTTTTTTTTTCTTCTTTCTTCACGAAGACCTGAGGATGAGATTTTTTTGAAGAAGCTATCTAGAGGTTATTCGGTAGGAAAGGATCCTGATGCTCCTTTTTTCTACAGAGAAGAAGGAAACAAAAAATTCCAGGAGAAGGATTACATAGGAGCCGCAGTACTATACTCTAAGGTAAAAATGCTTCTAGCCCAGCAATTCAACAAGGCATATTTCTGTAGAATACAGAACCATATCGTTAATTTCATAACCAATGTTATTTCTGTGTATAATTTGTGAATTGAATTTGAAAAGTAAATTGGTAGAATTCTGTTCTTGATTATATTCTGAAACAAAGGATAGTTTATATGCTCTGAATCTCATCAAGGAACTTCTATTCCCATATTTCTTCAGACACTTTGTAGCAATAAGTTTATTAGCCCCTTGTCCTGTCTTACCATGTATGTCAGCTCTCACTGAATTGCTTGCCATTTTAGTCTAACTGACTGATAAGAATGATGAATAGGCTGGGCGCTGGTGGCTCACGCCTGTAATCCTAGCTACTCAGGAGGCTGATATCTGAGGATCGCGGTTCAAAGCCAGCCCGGGCAGGAGAGACCGTGAGACTCCTATCTCCAATAAACCACCAGAAAACCGGAAGTGGCGCTGTAGCTCAAGTGGTAGAATGCTCGCCTTGAGCTGAAGAGCTGAGGGACAGCGCCCAGGCTCAGAGTTCAAGCCCCACGACCGACAAAAAAAAAAAGAATGATGAATAGTCCTGATTTAGATACAGAACAGCTATTTTGTTTTGTTTTGTTTTTGTTCTAATCCTGAGGCCTGGGCATTGTCCCAGTGCTTTTGTGCCATTTGAGCCACAGCTCTACGTCTAGCTTTTTAGTGGCTAATTAAACATAACAGTCTCACAGAGCTGGGCACTGGTGGCTCATGCCTGTAATCCTAGCTACTCAAGGGGGCTGAGATCTGAGGGTCATGGTCCAAAACCAGCCAGGGCAAGAAAGTCCTTGAGACTCTCATCTTCAATAAACTACTTTAAAAAGGGGGAAAGTGGTGCTGTAGCTCAAGTGATAGAGCACTATCCTTAGCACAGACCCAGGGACAGTGCCTAAGCACTTAGTTTAAGCCCAAGGACCAGAGAAGAAAAAAAAAAAGAGTCTCACAGACTTTCTTACCCCAGGCTGGCTTCAAACTGTGATCCTCAGCTCTTGTCTCCTGAGTAGCTAGGATTACAGGTGTGAGCTACCAGAGCCCTACAGAATAGCTAGATTTTAACCAATCACAGTGTTAGCTTACAACTAAAATAACTTAAGTGACATTAGAAAGGGAAATGAGCTAGCTGGGCATGATGCCACATGCCTGTAATCACAGCTGCTCAGGAAGGAAAGATAGGGTCATGAATTTGAGGCAAGCCCAGGAAAAAGTAGCCTTGAGACCATGTCAAAAACTAAAAAAATAAGCCAGGCACCAGTTGCTCATGTTTGTAATCCTAGCTAGTCAGGAGGCTGAGATCTGAGGATCGTGGTTCAAAGCCAGCCTGGGCAGAAAAGTCCCTGTGAGACTCTTATTGCCAATGAATCACTCAAAAACTAGAAGTGGTGCTGTGGCTGAACTGGTAGAGCTCTAACCTTGAGCACAAAGAGACTCAGGGACAGCGCCCGGGCCGAGTTCAAGCCCTACAACTGACATAAATTAATTAATTAATTAATTCATTAATACTAGCAACAGCAATGATAATAAAAGGGCAGGGAGCATAGCTCAATGATAGAATGATTGTCTGGAATGTGCCAGGACTGGATTCAATCTTACAACCCTTAAAAAAACAAGGAAAATGAGGTGATTGGTCACAGCCCAGTTGAACTTCATCTTAAAGGTTGTTATCAAACATACTTGTATTTGAAGCTGTCAAATACTTTAAATTATACTGACCACACCAACTTCAATTTTGAGGAAGAATCATGGCTTTTAACAGTCTGACAATCTGTTACTCTTATTGGTCTGCTTCTATTGTAGGAACTGGAACAAGATCCCCTGAGAAAATTCCTTCTATTTTCTTTTAAGAGTCTTATATGGGCTTAAGTTACAAATATTTGAATCCCCTGAATCCCTTTCATATTAAAAGAATGAGTGTAAGTGGTTGGGAGTAGCCCAGTGATAGAGTGCTTGCCTAACATACATGAGGCCAGGGTTTGATCTCCAGGATTGAAGAAAATAAATAAATTTAGGACTGGAGGCATGACTCATGGTCGAACACTTGCCTAAATAAACACAGGGTCTTCAGTTTAAATACCAGTACTACCATACACTTACAAAAATCTACTGGAAGCCATGCATCAGTGGCTCAAATCTGTAATCCTGGCAACTCAGTAAACTGAGATCTGAAGTCAACCTGAGCAGATAAATCCAAAACACTTTGTTTGTTTGGTGCTGATCCTGGGTTTGGGCCTAGGTACTGTTCCTAAGCTTTTTCTGCTCCAGGCTTAGTGCTCTACCACTTGAGCCAGAGCTCTAATTCCAGCTTTTTGGTGGTTAGTTGGAAATAAGTGTCTCATGGGTTTTCCTTCCCCAGACTAGCTTTGAACTGCAATCCTCAGGTCTTAGATTATAAGCTTGATCCACTGACACCTGGCCCAAGAGACTCCTTTTTTTTTTCTTTCTACAAACATTTGGCAGTTGTTTTTTTTTTTTTATTGTGAAAATACCGTACAGAGGGGGTTACAATTACATGGGCAAGATAATGAGTACATTTCTTATCAAGCATTGTTGCCTCCTCCTTTGTTTCCCCTTCCCATCCTCCTCCCCCCCTCCCCAAGAGACTCTTATCTTCAGTTAACTAGCAAAAAACTGGAACTTGGAGGCATGACTCAAGTAAGAATACTTTCCTAGCAAACACAGACCCTGAGTTCAAATAGCAATACCACCAAAAATAGTATAACTTTGAAGAGCGTACTCTGAATCTCTAACAGGCCCACCCTCAAGATTTGAAAGTAATTTTCCAAAAACTGTCAGACCTATAACAACGGTGGTAGACAGCTGATAAAAGCCCTGCTTTGTGGTGGTATAAGAGTATAGAGTAGGCTGGGCGCTGGTGGCTCACACCTGTAATCCTAACTACTCAGGAGGCTGAGATCTGAGGATCACGGTTCAAAGCCAGCAGGGGCAGCAAAGTCTGTAAGACTCTTATCTCCAATAAACCACTAGAAAACCAGAAGTGGTGCTGTGGCTCAAGCAGTAGAGCCCTCGCCTTGAGCTGAAGAGTGCAGGGACAGTGCCCAAGCCCAGAATTCAAGCCCCACAACTGACAAAAAAAAAAAAGTATTGAGTGGAATAGTATTAGTGATTGCTGAAAGATTAAAATCCATTAGATGTAATGATCCAGTGATAAATGGCTTAATAGTTCTTTTTAGAGCTAATCTCTTCAACTGTATGTGTATTCATCATAAATGTGAGCACATAAAAAGTTATTTAAGGATGGGGCTGGGAAGGTGGCTCAGTGGTAGAGCGCTTGCCTTGCATGCCTGAGGCCCTGGGTTCGATTCCTCAGCACCACATAAGCAAAAAGAAAAAGGCCGGAAGTGGCGCTGTGGCTCAAGTGGTAGCGTGCTAGCCTTGAGCTGAAGAGCTAAGGGACAGCACCCAGGCCCCAGAGTTCAGGCTCCATGACCGGACCCAAAAAAAAAAAAAAGAAAAAAGAAAGTTGTTTAAGGAAAACAGGTAGAAGACAAAGTGAAATCAGACAAAAAAAGTAAGGTTTTTCTCTGTATGTAGTGGGAGATGTACTTCCTATTCTATGGAGCTGGTATTTCAGTGATTATGCTACTTTGCAATTTTATAGAGAGCTGCTATTTTCTTCTTTTTTAAAAAAATAGTACTTGTTTTTTCTCTGTAAAAGTAATAAATGTTACTTTGGAAAATATAGAAAAGTATAAAGAGTAAGAACAAGGTCATAACCAGTGATAAGCACTGTTAACATTTTTGCTTATATCCATCCAACCAGACTTTTTCCTCTGAAAATGTGTTTTCCTTCTACAAAATTGGGATAATGCAGCACTTAGTGTTTTGTAACCTGCCTTTTTTCCCCTCAACAATTTACTGTGCCCATTTTCTCATGTTATTAAATTTTCCACCACAATGTGATTTTCTGCAGCTGGCACAGTGTTCCGTTACAGAGAAGAAATGTACTCAATTTAACATCTAATGTTACCGTGCTGTTTGGTATCATAATGCTGTAACAAGCATCTCTATGTAAATGTTTGCATACAACTGATTGTTTCCTCAGGATAAATTCATGGAAGCATGGAAAAGTAGTTGCGGGGTCAGAAGGAAACACAGTACCTAGGCCCACGCCCCAGAAGGCTTTTGGAATTTGATGCTGAATTGTTCTCCAGGAAAGAACTAGTTACCATCTCTTCTGACAGAGTATAAGATATTTATTTCTCTGTATCCTGAGCAATACTGGTTATTATTGTTATTTTTTAATAAGTAATATGGTCACACAGTTAAATTTAAAAGTTGCAAGAATATACAGTATAGGCTACTTCTCCTGCCCTCTGGCCATTTTATTTTCCATCCCCATAATCTAGCATCATTAAATGTACTATATCTCATGCATATATAAATGAATAAAACATAACCAAGCACAGGGGTACTCACCTGTAGTCCCAGCTACTTGGAAGACTGAGGCATGAAGGTCACTTGAGTCCAGGAATTGGAGAACAATCTGGACAACATAACAAGACCCTCTCACTAAATAAATAAACAAGTCTAGAGGTATAGCTCAGTGGTAGGACCTTGGTCTTAATTCCCATTAACAAAATTAATCTTAGCGAAAATGTTTTTATTTTACCCAAATAAAAACATACTGGCTGGGTGCCAATGGCTCGTGCCTGTAATCCTACTCAGGAGGCTGAGATCTGAGGATCACAGTTCAAAGCCAGCTCGGGCAGGAACATCCATGAGACTCTTATCGTCAATAAACTACCAGAAAACCTGTAGTAGTGCTGTGGCTCAAGAGGTAGAGCACTAGCCTTGAGCTGAAGAGCTCAGGGACAGCACCCAAGCCCACAGTTCAAGCCCCACCAACAAAAACAAAAACATACTGCTCAGTAGCATATATTTTGCAGTTTTAATGCCTTTTCACATTGGTACATAAGGAGCTTCCTCTTTTTTTTTATGGTTCCGTGGTATTTCATTAAATAGAGGTGTCATTTATTTAACTAGATTTCTGTAGATGAGCATTTGTTTCCTGTCTTTTGTTCTAACAATTTTTATGAGAAACTTTGCATATGTCATTTTGTATGTGTCTATAAAGAAAATGATTATAAGATAAATTCATGGGGCTGGGATGGTGGCTCAGTGGTAGAGCGCTTGCCTTGCATGCCTGAGGCCCTGGGTTCGATTCCTCAGCACCACATAAGCAAAAAGAAAAAAGCCGGAAGTGGCACTGTGGCTCAAGTGGTAGAGTGCTAGCCTTGAGCTGAAGAGCTGAGGGACAGTGCCCAGGCCCAGAGTTCAGGCCCCACAACTGGACCCAAAAAAAAAAAAAAGATAAATTCATAGAAGAGGAATTACTTAGTTGATGATGTATCTATAGATATATATATTTTATATATATATATATGTATATATATATATATATAAAATATATATATATATACATATATATATATATATATAAAGAATGTAGTACATAACATTTTACAGGTTGAGTTGAGGATACAAGTCAGTGGTAAATCATTTTAAAGTTCTGAGTTGAATCCTTAACAGTACCTCCCACCCCCAAATTAATATATATTGCTAAATTGCACTTCCTAGTCATTGGACCAATTTAGTACTGGTACTTGAAGTCAAGGCCGAGGTAGTGTCCACCTCTTGAGCCATACCTTCACTTCTGACTTTTTGGCGGTTAATTGGATATAAGAGTCTCAGGGGCTTTTCTGTCTAGGCTGGCTTTGAGCCTCAATCTTAAGATCTCAGCCTCCTGAGTAACTAGGATTACAGGTGTGAGCCACTGGTACCAGGCTCAATAGATTAATTTATAGTGCCATTAGCAACATAGGGAAAATGCCTATTATTCCACTTCACTGCCAAGTCAGTGTGCCTTCAGTTTAATTTTTCTTGCCAAGCTGATGGGTGAGAAAATGGTATCTCAGTAGTTTTGATTTGTACTTTGTTGATTATAAATGAAGTTAAGCATTTTATCATATGATTAAGAGCTATTTATATTCCCCACAATGATTGTCCATATCATTTGCATACTCTCCTATTGAATTGTGGTTATCACTTAATAATCTGTAGAAACATTAAAAGTTAGAAACTTTTAATAAAGTAATTAACGAAGGCTGGGAAGGTGGCTCCGTGGTAGAGTGCTTGCTTTGCATGCATGAGGCCCTGGGTTCAATTCCTCAGCACCACATAAACAGAAAAAGCTGGAAGTGGCACTGTGGCTCAAATGGTAGAGTGCTAGCCTTGAGCTGAAGAGCTGAGGAACAGTGCCCAGGCCCATAGTTCAAGCCCTCCAATCAACAAAAAAAAAAATAAGCATAAACATAAAGTAATTAACTGTTTGCCTATACGATGAGCTACATATTTTGTTTCACGTTCACTGATTTTTGTGAAGAAATTTTGTATTTTTTATGTGTCACATGTATTACTCTCTTATGACTTTTTTTTTTTTTTTTTTTTTGTCGGTCGTGGGGCTTGAACTCTGGGCCTGGGCGCTGTCCCTCAGCTCTTCAGCTCAAGGCGAGCGCTCTACCACTTGAGCTACAGCGCCACTTCTGGTTTTCTGGTGGTTTATTGGAGATAAGAGTCTCAGGGTCTCTCCTGCCCGGGCTGGCTTTGAACCGCGATCCTCAGATCTCAGCCTCCTGAGTAGCTAGGATTACAGGCGTGAGCCACCAGCGCCCGGCTCTTATGACTTTTTAGAAGCAGTACTGGGCTTGGAACTGATGGCCTCATGCTTACTAGGCAGGTACTCTACCACTTGAGCCATTCCTCCTGCCCCTTTTTTTATTATAAAGGAATTCCTCCACATAATTTTTATTGGTAGTGGTGGTCATAGGGCTTGAACTTGGGGCCTGGGTGCTGTCCCTGAACACTTGCACTTACGGCTAGTGCTTTACCACTTTGAGCCACAGTAGCACTTCCCGTGTTCTGGTTGTTAATTGGTGATAAGACTCTCATGGACTTTCCTAGGCTGGCTTTGAACTGTGATCTTCAGGTCTCAGCCTCTTAAGTAGCTAGGATTACAGGCATGAGCTACCAAGTGCCAGGTTTCCAACATTACTTTTAAACTATTTGTATAGTTTCCTTCATTACTATTTACTTTAGTTATTAATGTTCAGAGTTTGTTCCATTAATGGGACAGAACATAGCTCACTGGTAGAACACATACTGAGTATGAGTTCTTGGGTTCAATCTCCACAACCTTCTCCAATCCCCTCAAAAAAGTTTGTTTAGTTAATTTACAGTGAAAAGTTTTTTTGGTTTGGTTTTTTTTTTTTTGGTCAGTTTTGGGGCTTGAACTCTGGGCCTGGGTGCTGTCCCTCAGCTCTTCAGCTCAAGGCAAGTGCTCTACTACTTGAGCCACAGCACCACTTCTGGTTTTCTCACAGACTTTCCTGTCTGAGCTGGTTTTGAACCAAGAACCTCAGATCTTAGCCTCCTGAGTAGCTAGGATTACAGGAGTGAGCCATCGGCGCCCCATGAAAAGTTTATCATATGTTGACTACTTTCCTTTTTTTCAAAGGTTACCTGTTCAGGTTCTTTCTCTGAATATCGTCTTTTCTCCAATAATTAGAAATACCAAAAGAGTAAATTTAATTTAAAAGTTTGGTAGATTAATTAGGGTCCAAGGTCCCTAGAGAACATGTTGCTGTGGAAGGCACTGCTGGTTTGTGAGACTATTATCTCTAGTTAACTACCAAAAGGCCAGGAGTAGAGCTTGGCTCAAGTGATAGAGCACTAGCCTTGAGCAAAAAAGCTCAGGGACAATGCACAGGCTTTGGCAGTTGTGTGCCCCAGTACTAGCATATAACAACAACAACAAAATCTCTAGACTCAGAGCCATAGAGACAGAGACCTTGACAGAGATACTTCTTTGAATAAAGTTCTCCATACTCATCCTCCATTGTCCTGGACTTTATTCCTCAGAGAAGAACCTAGGAAGGCTACAGGGCAGTGCTGGCAGTAGAGCTGTAACACCAGCAGGCATTGTCTGCTGCTGAACTGAAACACTAAGTAGACACTGTCTGCTATAAGGCTGTTACCCTAGTGGTCTCTGCCAGCTACAGAGCCACAAGGATGAATGGGTTCTGCCCACTGAAAGCATTAGCAGAAGAAAATTCTGTATGAATACCATCTTTATGATTGTTAGTTCATCCTTGCCAAATTGGATAAGAGAAAAAAATGCTTTGTTTTGCAGGGAATTTCCCATTGCAGTCCTGACACAGAGGACATTTCACTGTGCTATGCCAATCGCTCTGCAGCCCTGTTCCGCCTGGGTCAGTATGAAGTGAGTATCAGGGTGTCATGTCTGGGCTGCACTGGAGGACAAAGCCTTCTCTCTGCTTCTTCCTCATAACACAAATCGGCTGTGGTGGACTGAATTGGAAACACACTGATAGACTCCCTAATTGTCCCTCCTTTGATTTATTTCTCCATCACAGGTGACCATGCAGAGTGTTGTTGATCCACAAGAAAAAGCTATGGCATTACCTCCTCCTCCCCTGGAGGCATGGAATATTTCCAGTGAGCGTCTAGTTCTCTGTGTTGTCTTAGCTATAGATGGTGCTAGTAAGGCTTAAATTTCCAAGTATGTCCAGAATATCTCCTTGTTCATTTGTTTCTCTTATTTAGTATAGAGTGTTAACATGATCGCTTTCATAATGTTGCCCACCCTCAAAAAGTTGTGTGTACAGGGAAGTGAGAGGTGTCTGTGAATCCCACGGGTTACACTTTGTGAAGTGACTTTGTTCTCAGCACATAAATGTAGTAAAGATACTGAGAACTCCACCAGAGTTTTGAAAAGAAGTGACCAAAATCAGGTTTATGTTTATGTCAGATCTTTCAAGTTTGTAAAATAGAGGCCTAAGGACCAGCTTTTGCTTTGGGGGGGTGGAGGTGGTCCGGTCATGGGGCCTGAATTCTGGGCCTGGGCGCTGGCCCTCAGCTCTTCAGCTCAAGGCTAGCACTCTACCACTTGAACCACAACGCTACTTCCGGCTTTTTTTTTTCTGCTTATGTGGTGCTGAGGAATCGAACCCAGGGCCTCAAGCATGCAAGGCAAGCGTTCTACCACTGAGCCACCTTCCCAGCCCTGCAAGGCAAGCGTTCTACCACTGAGCCACCTTCCCAGCCCTAAGGACCAGCTTTAAAATGCCATTTTATATATCCAATTTAGAGTCCACAGAAATTCAAATTGTACCATAGAGTTGAAGACTATTAGAGTCACATGCTCATACTCCCCTTCAGACTACAAAAGAGCAAGAATCTAACTATAGATGCAAGGAAAATAAGTACTAGATAACTGAAGGAAAGATTGGAAGTTATAGAATGTTTGACACTTTTAACTTCCCTGCATTGATTGTTTCTACTTTTCTTCTTATAATGATGCTTACCTATTGAGCACATACTTTATTCCAGGTACTTCTTTCAACACTTTGATTGTTTTGGTGGCTCTATGGATTAAAGTCAGACCCTTGAGCTTTCTGCAAGCACTCTACCACTTGTGACATGTCCCTACTCTTTTTGGCTTTAATATGCTTTTCAGATAGTATCTCAAACCTTTGCCTGGGCCATCCTTGAACCTAAATCCTACACCATACCCTGCCCTTCCTTTCAGCACATTAGATATATTACTTTATTTCAAACAACCTAGTGAAGTATTATCATCCCTGTTGTTCAGATGAGAAAACTAAATAGTGAGGAATTGTTTACATAAGGCCTTGCATCTGATAAGAGACATAGTATTTTTGTTTGTTTGTTTTTGTTTTTTGGGTCCGGTTGTGGGGCCTGAACTCTGGGCCTGGGCGCTGGCTCTCAGCTCTTCAGCTCAAGGCTAGCGCTCTACCACTTGAGCCACAGCGCCACTTCTGGCTTTTTTCTTTTTGCTTATGTGGTGCTGAGGAATCAAACCCAGGGCCTCAGGCATGCAAGGCAAGTACTCTACCACTGAGCCACCTTCCCAGCCCAGAGATATAGTATTTAAATGCAGGTTTGTTTGGCTTCAAAGTCTGCCCTCTTAAACTACCTATAATTCTGTAAGACTTTTTTTCCCCTAACAGTGGAAATAGTTAATAAGAACAATTAGATATAACATCTTCAACAAGTATTACTAATCATTCAGTTAAAAGATCACACAGGCTGTGGGAATGAAGCTAAGTGATAAAATGTCTGCTTAGCATGAGCATGTGCTTGGGCCTTTAGCATGTGAGGCCCTAAACTCAGTCCCCAGAAACCACTTCCCCAAATATAGATCACAGAGTAAAAATATAATTTTTTTAAGTTAACTTTTTTTTGGAGGGGGCAGTACTAGTGTTTAAACTCAGAACTTTGCTTGCTAGGCAGGTGCTTTGGTTAGTCAGATGCTCTACCACTTAATACAACAACTTTAGTTGTTTTTCAGACATGGTCTCACATTTTTGAGGGGACTGGCCTCAGACTTTGATCCTCCTATCCTCAGCCTCTTACATATCTGAGACCTGCTGCATGCCACAGATCTTGCTTATTAATTGAGATGGGATCTTGCTATCTTTTGTCCAGATTGGCCTTAAACTGTGATCCTTCTGGTCTCCCAGCCTTCTGTGTACCCAGGATTATAAGTGTGAACCATCAAAACTGACCCCACTCTAGTCCTAAACCTTCTTGTAGATTTTTTTTTGCAGTGCTAAGCATTTGAAATGAGGATCTCATGCTACTAAGCATGCTACCACTTTAGCCACTATTCCACTCCTTTTTTATTGTTTTTTTTTTTTGTCTGTTTTTTGTCAGCCCTGGGGCTTGAACTCAGGATCTAGGGCTATCCTTGAGCATTTGTGCTCAAGGCTAGCATTCTACCATTTTGAGTCATAGCTTTACTTCTGGTTTTTTAGTTGTTAATTGGAGATAAAGAGTTTTATGGGCTTTCCTGCCCAGACTGGTTTCAAACCTCAGTCCTCAGATCTCAGCTGCCTGAGTACAGGCCTGAGCCACTGGTGCCTGGCTATCTTGGTTATTTTCAAGATAGAGCATTTCTTTATACCCTGGCTGGCCTAGACTGTAATCTTCCTATTTGTGCTTCCCCTTGTTGCTGTAATGACGCACAAACTATCACACACAGCCATTTGATCCTAGCCTTGAATCACAGTCTTTTGATTTCTACCTCCCAAATAGCTAAGATTGTAAATTTGAACCACTGTGCTTGGCTTCCTTTTGAAGTATTTTCAATAGGAATCAATGATCACCTTGGAATTTCCTTTCTGTTTTCAGACTTGTCTTGAAGACATCATCAGAGCACAGACTCATGGATATCCAGAAAGACTGCAACCTAAAATGATGCTGCGAAAGGCAGAATGCCTAGTAACCCTGGGACGACTTCAGGAGGCAAGCCAGACCATCAGTGATCTTGAAAGGAATTTCTCTGCCAAACCAATCAAGGAAGCTTCTCCCTGTCAAATTCTGCAGAAAAACGTCCATCATCTGAAAATGAAATTAAAAGAAAAGAAGAATCTCCTAGAAATGGTCCCAGCAGCTCTCACCAAAGCCTTTGAGGATGTAAGTCTGAAGGAAGAGAACAAACAAATTTCCGGTGCCTCGTCATCTGTCGGCTTATGTTCAGACCCTTTAAAAGGACGCTATCTGGTAGCCACAAAAGACATTTTCCCAGGAGAGCTCCTGGTGAAGGAGAATGCTTTTGTGAGTGTCCTTAACCCAGGAGAAATGCTACCACTGCATCACAGCCTACAGAGCAACTGGGGTACTAGAATTACCAATGGGGACCTCTACTGTCATGGATGCTTGAAGCACACCTTGGCCACAGTGCCCTGCAATGGCTGCAGTTATGCCAGATATTGCAGCCAGGAGTGCATGCAGCAGGCCTGGGAACGCTACCATAGCACAGAGTGTGCTCTAGGGGGACTGCTTCTCACTCTGGGTGTCTTCTGCCATGTTGCCCTGAGATTGACTCTTTTGGCTAGATTTGAAGATGTTGACAACATGGTAAGGAAGCTTTGTGATGAGATTAGTAACAAGGATCTCTGTTCACCTGAAAACCAGACACTGGACAAGCCACACAATTATAGCCAATCGGAGTGTGAGGAAAAATATAGACAAGTTGAAAACCCAATCCCCGGATGCAGTATTGATGGGAAGTATGAACATAATTACAATGCTGTCTTCAACCTTTTGCCCCATACTGAAAACCATAGTCCAGAGCACAAATTCCTCTGTGCTCTCAGTATCTCTATACTGTGCAGACAGCTCAAAGCCACCAACTTGCAGGCCGTCACCCCAGTCCTGCCATCCTCTAGGTCCAAAGCAGCAATGATCCCTGGGTTGTGTGCAGACCAGAATATTTGGGGAGTGGCCATGCTGCGGCACATGTTACAGCTGCAGTGCAATGCTCAGGCCATCACTGCCATCCAGCAGACAGGTAAGAGAGAAACCTGTCTTTGCCTAACAATAGAGTTTTATATGTGGCTGGTGTTAGCAGAAAAAGAACCAGAGAGGAAAACAGTAGCGTTCCAACAATCTGTGATATAGGGAAAACACATCTGTTTTAGATAATTATTATGTCATTAAGAAGCTCTGTGACCTGTAAGTCTTTCACTTCATTTTGCCTCAGTTATCTCGTCTGTAAAATGCATAGTTCCAGCTCACTTAACTTTTCTTTTCTTTTTTTTTTTTTCTATTTTTATTGAAACTCAGGCTCTGTCCCTTAGCTTTTTTTTTTTTTAATTTAATTTTATTTTATTTGTGAACATACTGTACAGAGGGGTTACAGTTACATGGGCAGGATAATGCGTACATTTTTTACCAAGCATTGCAGCCTCCTCCTTTGGTTTACCCTTCACATCCCTTCCCAGCCTCCCCCCTCCCCCCCAATCCCAATCCTTCTCCTTCCCCCCCTTGCCCCCCCCCCCCACCGACGTTGCAAAGCTCGTTTTGGACATGACAACTTGTACTTCTCATTGTTGCAACAGGTCCACCTGTATCCTTAAACAACTGGTTTTTCCCCATCTCCTCCACAAGTTATACTGACATCAAATATAGTGAAAGCAGGGGTTATACTGTGGGGGAGGGATCCCTTAGCTTTTTTGCCCAGGGCTAGTGCACTACTTCTTGAGCCACAGCTCCACTTCTAGCTTTTTGTTGGTTAACTAGAGATAGTCTCATGAACTTTCCTACCTAGGTGTCTTTGACCATGGATCCTCAGCTCTTAGCCTTCTGAATGGCTAGGATTAAAGGAATGATTCACCAGCTTCCACTTAACTCTCTCACTTAACTTTATAGTTGTGTTTGTAAAAATTCTTTTTTTTTTTTTTTGTCGATCGTGGGGCTTGAACTCTGGGCCTGGGTACTGTCCCTCAGCTCTTAGCTCAAGGCGAGCGCTCTACCACTTGAGCTACAGTGCCACTTCCAGTTTTCTGGTGGTTTATTGGAGATAGGAGTCTCACAGTCTCTCCTGCCCGGGCTGGCTTTGAACCGCGATCCTCAGATCTCAGCCTCCTGAGTAGCTAGGATTACAGGCGTGAGCCACCAGCGCCCGGCTGTGTTTGTAAAAATTCTTTAAAAAATGAGCCAGGTGCCAGTGGCTCAAACCTATAATCCTAGCAACTCAGGAGGCTAAGGATCCAGGTTTGAAGCCAGCCTGGACAGAAATGATCATGAGATTCTTATCTCCAATAAACTGCCGATGGAAGTGGGGCTGTGGCTCAAGTGGTAGAGTGCTCGCCTTGAGCTGAAGAGCTGAGGGATAGCGCCCAAGTCCAGAGTTCAAGCCCCACGAACAAACAAACAAAAAAAAAAGTAATCAATAAACTGCCGAAAAGCTGGAAGTAGGGGCTAGGAATGTGGCTTAGTGGTAGGGTGCTTCCCTAGCAAGCATGAGGCCCTGGATTCAACTCCTCATACACAGAAAAAGCCAGAAGTGGCACTGTGGCTCAAGTAGTAGAATGCTAGCCTTGAACAAAAGATGCTCAGGGACAGTGAGCGGGCCCTAAGTTCAAGCCCTAGGACCAGCATGCCCTACACACACGCACACACACGCACGCACACACACACACACACACACACACACAAAGTTAAAAAATGAATACTACTAACTTTGACTTTGGTTTTTTGGGTGTGTGGGTGTGCACACATGTGTGCATGTATGTGCGTGCACTTGTGTACAGCAACCCTAGAGCTTAAACTCAGGACCTAGGAGCTCACCTTCAGCTTTGTTGGTGGTGGTGGTATTATTGTTCAAGGCTAACACTTTACCAGTTGAGGCACAGTTCCACTTCCAGCTTTTTTTGGTGATTAATTGGAGATAAGAGACTCAGAGAGCCGGGCGCTGGTGACTCACACCTCTGAGGATCCCGGTTCAAAGCCAGCCCAGGGAGGAAAGTCCAGAGACTCTTTTTTTTTTTTTGGGGGGGGGGGGCCCAATCATGGGGCCTGAACTCTGGGCCTGGGTACTGTCCCTCAGCTTTTCAGCTCAAGGCTAGCACTCTACCACTTGAGCTACAGTGCCTCTTCCGGCTTTTTTCTTTTTGCTTATGTGGTGCTGAGGAATCGAACCCAGAGCCTCATGCATGCAAGGCAAACGTTCTACCACTGAGCCACCTTCCCAGCCCTCCGGAGACTTTTTTTTTTTTTGGGTCCGGTCGTGGGGCCTGAACTCTGGGCCTGGGTGCTGTCCCTCAGCTCTTCAGCTCAAGGCTAGCACTCTACCACTTGAGCCACAGCGCCACTAACGGCTTTTTTCTTTTTGCTTATGTGGTGCTGAGGAATCGAACCCAGGGCCTCGAGCATGCAAGGCAAGCGCTCTACCACTGAGCCACCTTCCCAGCCCACCTCCGGAGACTCTTATCACCAATAAATCACCAGAAAACCAGAAGTGGTGCTGTAGCTCAAATGGTAGAGCACTAGCCTTGAGCTGAAGAGCTGAGAGACAGCGCCCAGGCCCAGAGGTCAAGCCCCATGACCAACAACAAAAAAAAGAGAGACTCAGAGACTTTCCTGCCCAGACTGGCTTTGAACCGCAATCCTCAGATTTCAGCCTCTTGAGTAGCTAGGATTACAAGCATGAGCCACTTTTGCCCAGTTTGAGATTTTTTTCTTAATTAGAAAGGAAAACACCCAATTAAATAGCAATAGCAAGTTTTTAATAAAAATACATGCATAGGAATGCAGGAAACGCTAATTGTTTTCTCCTTAGGGAGGGCAGAAATAGTCATAGAAGACTAGAAAGAATAGGGTTTATGGTTGAGTAAGGCATCCTATACTTAAAACTCACTCAGCTGCTCTCTGAATGTTCTCTTTCTAGTTGACAGGTTTTCCCCACTCTTTCTTACTTTCTAAGAGGAGTCCTGCCCAGCACTGTTTTCACAATGTACTATATCTATGTATTGGCCACCATTCATATGCGCTATCTTTAGATGAGGTAGCCAGGCATTCAAAGAGCTACGTCTGTGTACAAACCAGCCAGCTCAGTTTCCTGAACTGAGTTCTAAAATCAAAATGCCTTTTGATTCTACCAGTTTATTATACTTTTCCTAATTTCTTTAGTCAATGCTATTGAAAGGGAGCATACTAGGTGATAGCTAAACCTAAGATTTATGGACTGATTAATTTTCAATGTCGCTAGCTGAGCCAAACAAACTTAGCTCTTCAGATATGTCACTTAATGCTAGAATTTATCAGTCTTTCTATGCACTTTTTATGTTTAACCTTAATTCAGCTGCCAAGTTCTATGGCATATTAGGTGTCTCACTAGAGATGTGTTTGGACATGACTCTTCTTCCTGAAGCACATGAGATATCCACAAACACCACAGCTAGGTCCCACTCTTCTCCTGAATCACATTTCAAGTTATTCTGTTTTCGTCTCTGACTTCTTTTCCTTCTTTGAGCCATTTCTCCCAGTAGAAGCAAAAATAGCAGAAAGCTCAATGGTGATTAATTCTGAAAGCAACAATATGAATGATTGCTACTTCTTTGGACTTTTCTGTTTTTAAAATTAAGAACACAATTCACACACAGTGATATTATTATACTAGTAAATTTTGAAATGGGTTATATGTCCTACCATCATTCTAGGGGAAAAAATTATTATTATTATTATTATTTCATTGTTGGTTGTGAGGCTTGAACTCAGGGCCTGGGCACTGCCCCTGAGCCTCTTTGTGCTCAAGGTTAGCATTCTACCACTTGAGCCACAGTGCCACTGCCAGTTTTTGGTTAGTTTATTGGGGATAAGAGTCTCTTGGGGAGTTTTCTGCCCAGGCTGGCTTCAAACCACAATCCTCAAATCTCAGCTTCCTGAGTAGCTAGGATTACAAGCATGAGTCATCAGCACCCAGCAAAACTTTCTTATAAAATAGCTTATGGCTAGAGAGGAATAAGAGAGAGCAATACTGGAAGTGAATTTGACCAAAGTATGTTATATATGTATATGCAAATAATGCAGTAAAACCTCTTTGTGCAATTAATATATGCTAATGAAAAAAACTAGCTCAGAACAAAAGACAGACAATGAAAATAAGTCTGTAATAGTAAAAATAGGTGGTCTAAATTCACCTATTAAAGGAATTCTTCAGAGCTGATTACAGTATCTTGTGCCTCTAATCCCACCTACTCAGGACAGAGATTAGAGGACTGGGGTTCAAGGATAGCTGAGGCAAAAAGCATGAGATCTTATCAGAAAAATAACCTAAAACTAAAAGATTTAAGGGTAGAGGGGCTGGGAAGGTGGCTCAGTGGTAGAGCGCTTGCCTTGCATGCCTGAGGCCCTGGGTTCGATTCCTCAGCACCACATAAGCAAAAAGAAAAAAGCCGGAAGTGGTGATGTGGCTCAAGTGGTAGAGCGCTAGCCTTGAGCTGAAGAGCTCAGGGACAGCGCCTAGGCCCAGAATTCAAGCCCCAGGACCAACCCTGTCCCCCCCAACACACAAAAAAAAGTGTCTTAGAATAGGTCAAAAAATTAAGATCTTAACTGTATTACATTTACAAAATGACTCATTAGCAAAATAACATAAGATTTGGGGCAAGACATATCAGGAACTATAAGTAAAGTATTGGTATTAATGTGAAACAACAGAACCCAAGGTAAGATCTTGCAAATGTAATTAAAAATGGATTTTATGCTAGGCACTGGTGGCTCATACCTGTAATCCTAGCTATTCAGGAGGCTGATATCTGAGGATCATAATTCAAAGCTAACTGGGACAGGAAAGACCATGAGACTTACTTCCAACTAACCACCAGAAAACCAGAAGTGGCACTGTGGCTCTAAGTGGTAGAGCACTAGCTTGAGCAAAAAAGCTCCAGGACAGCACCCAGGCCCTGAGTTCAAGCCCCACGACCGACAAATAAATAAAATTCCTTTTATGAAGGAGACTTTACACACTGAAATACATGATCAGCCCTGACTCTCAGAAACATAGAG